CCCTGTAATTCATAGTTCTCCCCACTTCTGCAGAGGAGCCTGCAGAGACTCCCAGCTCGGTTTCTGCCAGCTAAAAAAACAGTGTGCGTGACTGAGTCTTCCTCAAGCACAAGAGGAGTGAGCAGCTGCTATTGAAATGGCTTCTCTTGGTTGTCTGGAATTTAAACACTCGGAGCAGGATGGTGACCTGCTGTGGTCCCAGACTGGGGTGTATCGCAGCAAAGAAACGGCAAAATACTTTCCAAGGTGCCACGTCAGACTACATTCCCCTTCCTCCTGGTTAGGAGGTCAAGTCTCATAATCAGGTGTAGTTCCCCTTTTGAACTTGCAGATAAAAAGTCAGAAAATCTCATGTAAAGGAGCACAGGAAGAAAAACAGAAACCATACAAAGATGAGAACTACTAAGTGGTTCTTTGTGCCTGAGGCATGAAACTAAGTCATTGTAAGCCTGACCTGATAAGAGAATTTTTGGATGAAGACCAAAAAGAAGGGTAGATAGATGGCTGGGATGAAAATATAGCTCTAGGGTATTCTGACTTTATGGGCCTTAGATATTCCCAAAAATTCTCCTACTACTTACAACTGCACTGAGGGATTTAATATTCCATATTGATAGTTAAAGCAGTAACACCAAGTAAAACAAAAGTTTTCACACAACTATTAACTTGTTTTCCAGGAATTAATTCAATTTCTGCCTGGACCAAGTAATGAAACTTCGCAGCAAATTAAAACTTATTTGCAATGCTAAGTAGGAACAATGCAAATTAAGAAGACCACACCAATTGAGGCAGGCAGTCTCTGGATACTTTTTCTTTGCAATGTATTTTTCAGCAATGTGATGAAAAGTTCTTTTTCTTATTTTCAAGTTGTTAAGTTAGAAAACTATATTCCTAGTCAATAGGAACGTTATGACTCTTGGCAAAGCAAGGTGGAAATGACCTTGCCCATGCTTTGTCCATTTAGACTATTTGATGTGTTTATTTTTAATATTTAGCCTTCCTCTATAACGTGCCCTCTTGGGATGCGTAATAAAATTAATAATATAAAAGACTTTTCCCTCTGTAGTTCTTCAAACAGCTAACCATTTCAGTTCTTCTGTGCTGTAGTTCGGTCAATGCTCCAGTATCTACTTCATAGAATAGAGTAGGCAGAGCACAATAGGCTGAGCTGTAATGTGTCTGGGAGCGCAATGATTACAGCTTACGTGCAGGCAGGCTGATGCCGCAGGTAGGAACAACAAGGTCAGTATGGTTTTATGCTAGCCTAGTTCTGACCTCAGAAATCTCAGCTGACGGGTAAAACCTGTGTTGGAGGTGTAACAAGACTCATCAGATCCATCAGTTGGAGCTCTTGTTCATATTTCAGAAATGAAAGCTGAAATCCACTGTTACAGATTTAAGGCAGATCCAAGCATGTTGGCATTTGTTGTAATGATTTGATTCCAGTGCTGTGCGGAAGAGGGAGAGGGATGGGGAGCTCATGTCCCCTTCCAGTGCACCCATGGGGGAGTGTGTAATCTGGCAGCACCCAATGCTCTGCATCGGACTTGTTAGGTAGGCTGTGGAGAAGCCCTGTAACATGTTTTTGAAGGGACAGCTGCTTCAGAACAGTCTTCTTAAGGGTCTCTGGAGGCAACCTCACTGCACTGCCCTTTTTTCCATCCACTGCAGTGTCAGTCACTAGACCTAAGCAAACACCAAAGTGCATTTTCAGCACAAAGCCAGCTTTGCTATAAGTGTGTAATGTGAGTGATCATATGATTAATTCTGTTATTATATAATTCACGTCTCTCTTTGTAGACAAATGTCTTGCGTTTTTAATGGTTATTTGAACGGTGTACATAATTCTTTGTCAGAGAAGCAGCTGAACCTGGCCAAGTTCAAATTGAAACTTCCCAGAGGAATAATCCAAATCTGTATTTCCATATATATTAATAAACTGTGTAATACTTGCAGCAACTCACATAATACAGTTTTGAAATGAGATAGAACTCATTATCAGTACAATGAGGAGCACAGGCTCTTCACTGTCAGAAATAATGGAGTGAGATCTACACAATTATTTTCCCTCGCTGTCTCTAGTCATTTATGCAGCAAGGTGCGTATAAATCTTTCTCGGCCTGTTGTGCTGTAGTGGGACTTACACCAGCCCCAGCTAGCTCCTGTGATTGCAAGCAGGCGGAGTTTATAAATAAATCCTTTAATTCTGTCTGGTTTCAGGACGTAACATCAGCAGCACTGTGCATTGCAAAGCTGCGTTGCACAAGTCCAAATGGAGCTTCAGCATGCTGCTGCCTGAGGGTAGGGGATGCCACGTCTGAAATCTGCCGTCCTGCTTTTGTACTCAGGCGCTGGGTATGAGTCTGGAGTGACTTCTTTCTCTTTGCACCATGGTGGATTGCTGTTTGTATTACTGAGAGGAGAACTTGGCATTCCACCCAGTGTTAGGCTTGGACTTAGTAGTCAAGCTATGCCATGTAACACCCGCTGCACGACACTCGGGAATCACTACCAGGATAAATAACAAACCTTAGCCTTCTGTGATCCTGGTCGATGAAGACCAAGAGTTAGAGGCTAGTTGTCTTCAGCTTGGGGTTTACAGTGCCTAACCATCAGCTGAAGGTTGGCCTCTACGCTCAAGGAGAAATGGACTCGCTTTTAAACGTGGCTGAAAAGAGGGAAATGGCATCCTGCTGTTTTTGTCTGGTAGCTGAGCAGAGGATGTAGAAAAGCAAGACCAGGTCTACTTCAGCAGAATGGCAAGGTCTGTTCCCATCTGTACCTGCAGCCTCTCTGATCTGGCTATCGGCTGGAGTAAGCATAGAAGCAGGTGAGACAGGTTTTCATCTGTGATGTTGAAAGGGATTCAGTAAGGAATGAAAAAATGATGGGAAGGGAAGAAAAAAAAAGGAGATGATTTAATTGTTTAATGAGATAGTGCACTTAGACACTGGACTTATATTTTGAAAGTTTTTATTTCTGGCATACAGGGTGCAGCACTTTGGCGAAAAAACCATGCTTCTTATAAATGCAGATCTGTGTATTCTTAGGAAAAGGGTGAAACCTATCACCTCAGTGGAATTTGTGCAAGTCCAGAATCTGCCCTATAGTGTGTGGTTTAAACACCTCCATACAGCAGTGAAGTAAATGCACTAATTAAATAGCGTAACCTGAATAAGAATTTTAATGTCAGAAACATGGCAAACTGAAATTTTGTTTGCTAGATGTGATTTATCCAATGGACTTAAGGAAGGAATCAGACTCCTCACCTGCGTTCTTCAGCACGTTTGGATAGTAATCTTCTTTAAATAATGTGACGGGCCTTTTTTGTAGTCCAGCGTCAGAGGATTACATTATTTTCAGAAGAATTTATGAAAGATTAGCAGAGGCATAGTTAATCATTTAAATTAGCTACAGGTTTTTTATTAATCTTTAAATTAATGAGTTCTACCTTTTGATCTTTCTGGCTGCAAATCCCTCTGGAATTGATGCCAATTAGGATTCGGTAATAACTTGGTTATGAACGTACACCGGTGTGTGCATATGCATGGCGTGTGTGTGTGTGTGTGTGTGTACGTGTGCAGGTAGGTGTCAGTGCCCCTGGAGACTGGCATGTGTTTGGTTAGACCTGCTCAGTTGTTACCAATTTGTAAAGTGGACCTCTCCACTAGTGGAAATTATATAAAAATTTAAGGACAGTAGTAAGCAAACAAAGGCTCTGGTTTATCATGCACAAAGTTTTGTGCTGCACGGTGCCAATCTGATACTTTTAGGGCAATTAGATACAGCTTGTGTATTACCTACAACACAGATGGGGGGACAGTATCAGGGAATGAAGTGACCTTACTCACTCTTCACATGAACTGTTGAGAAATGTTCTTGTCTTTTAAAGAAGGAAATGTGTTACAGCACCAAAATTACTGCACCATCCCAAGGCAACATCGAATAAGAAACTCACAGAGGAGCAGACTGACCCTGCTTAGAGCTTCACTCTGTGTGAAGGGGAAACAAGAAGTCACGAGGGTTTTCCGGGACTTCACAGTTCTCATACTGACATTGCTACATGCCCACAGTGTACCACAGTGTAACCTCCCTGCAAACAGGCACATGTTTACCTGTGTGAGGCTGAGTTTCTTTGCATAGTCACTGAATTGCCTTAATTGAAATGTGCTGTAGGTTTACAGTATAAGCATAAGCACGAGCTGTTTTTCAGAACTGATAAGCATGCATGAGTATAGCAGGAATAATATGAGGTTGTCAGTCTTACCATCCACAGTACAATGTAGTACTTGGTATGACAGCACTTGTTTCCACTGAGTTTTCCTTCTTCTATACCTGTATTTCTGAATGGTTGGGGATTTATTTTCTTCCCAGTGTCCCCACAGCCTTTTTACTTCCTACGCTTGTATCTTACTAGTCTGATGTTGCAGCTTTGTGTGGGTTTGATGAGATGTTAATGTTCAGTTTCCTATATCCAAGTAATTTTCAGAGCATTTCTTTCTCTTGCCATTCTTTAATCTGAAGGGCAATGATAGATTGGACCCCAAAAGCCTTGTTTCCCAAGGTACATGAGTGTCTGTAGTCGAAGATGTGTGCAGGGGAGTGCGGATCAATACACACTGTTGCATATCTGAAGCAGGATTCTTTGCTGTACTCGCAGTCTCTTTTCTTCCTGAAAAACTCAGTTCTGTCTTCCAGTGTTTGAAATTTGTTCTATAGACAATTTCTAGTCACAGTGCTATGAAACCTGAGCAAAAGCTTTTCTCAATTTCTTCTTGTAAAATTTTGAGTCAATAGCGGTACATTTACGTTTCAGTTGTTGGCAACTTATGTTGAAAAATAGACTATTCTAGTAGTCATCTTGTTTTAAGAAAAGTGTGTTGCTTGTTTCTAAATTCAAAAGTACAGTCTGGTCATCACAGGCAGAACTGAGACCCTGGTTCCAGGTACAGTTCAGGCAAAGGTGGATCATTTACTTATATGCATATTTTATCTTACAGCATAGGTGGAGAAGTAGTGAGAGGAAATGAAGGAAGCTACGTGGGGAAACATTTCCGCATGGGATTTATGACAATGCCTGCTCCTCAGGACAGACTGCCACATCCTTGCTCCAGTGGCTTTACCGTGAGATCCCAGTCTCTTCATTCTGTTGGAGGAACTGATGATGAAAGTAGCAGCTCTCGTAAGCAGCCACCTCCAAAACCTAAGCGAGACCCCAACACCAAACTGAGCACCTCATCTGAAACAGTCAACACTGGAACAACAAGTAAAAGTGGGAAACTACCAGACAGGACTGAAGGTAACCACTATAATTATTTGGAAAAAAGGGGGTGGTGACCCAGCATTAAGATTGTCCAGTTGATAATGTTGCATTTAAGAATTACCTGTATGTTTCCCCATCTGTGTAACAGTGCCAGCACAGGTATCCTAGATCACTGTTCTCTGAATTTTGGACTAGCAGGTAATTGCCAACCTTTGATGTTTCTCACAGAACTGTACCACTTATATGGCCTGGTTACGTACTGGGGAATGAGTTGAATTTATTCAAAATGAAAGGAAAAAGAAATTGCTGTCAGATGGCATGTAGGACAATGTTATCTGCATGCCAGCCAAGGACCACTCACCATATTGCTAGCACTGTGCAAACCATAGCTTTGGAAAGGGACGTCCTCAACAGAGAAGTGAAGGACAGAAATTATTAAAAAGAATACTGCATGGCCCTGAAACTCTACAGCAAGGAAATAGCATCCAATGGTAAAAAGTGTACCCGAGATGGTACAATGTATTGCCAAAAGGTTCTGTTTGCCTACATTTTCTCTTCCCATTCCTCCCAGTTATGTTTCAGCCAATGCAGCATTCAGGAGAAAATAAACAAATGTGTTGAATAAGGATGTTACTTCCTTACTCTGAACTACTAAAGGTGAACTAACGCTATAGGGATCTTCTCCTTCCTTTCTTCCATGCTGGAAATGCATTTTGTGCAGCAGTAGGACCAGCTGTACTCCCTGCTAGGAGAGATCAGGATGACTCTGCTTCACAGTGTGAGCTGTAAGAAGGAACCCTTAGGGACAAATGGTTTTGATCAGCACTGGTCTTTCCCACTGCTATGTTACAGATCAGTTTTGACATCCCATGCAGTATGTTGGGCTCTTCACGCGTATCCCTTTTGCTTGTTGTTGTGGCCAGAAATACTTGTAAGTTACATTCATACTACAACCCCTTATAAGCAAATCTGATTTTAAAAAGTCATCAGTGATAACAAAGATGCAGAGGAATTTATATTTCAACTGGCAGCACGTATGTCTACAGTTGTGAGGTTGAACACAAACACTGAACAAAACTGTAGGTTTATTTATGCTGTGTTGTTGGTAGTTATTTTGCATATGACATTTACCATTACTTCCATAGCTTGTCCTCTATGGTGACCATTACACCAACTCCACTGAACAGACTAACATGACAAATCCAAGCATTAAGTAGCTACTCTTAATAAAAGATTACAAAGCCTACACAGAAACCATTCAGATTTGTGCCACAGACACATTTAAAATCTCATATCAGGAAGTCTTTCAAGTCTTTCATTTAATACAAAACCAGAATGTGTGGAACAGACTTCTCAGTCTGATATGCTCTGTGGTGAAAGGCAGGAGCTCTTCAGTTACTCAAAAGTTCTTCTAAAAAATACTGTATTTTAAAATACTTTTATAATTCTTTAATATATTTTAGCACTCTTTCTTCCTGAGTCTGCACAACCAGAATTACCAAGGCTAACCGAAGTTTGCTTTGCAGACAAGGCAGTAAGATCGGCTCTAACATTTTCTAACTTGCTTTAATGAATATTCCTGCAAGTGTGCATTGAGTCACAGGGTATATTGTGCTCTTCGGTAGAGCTGACCTTGGCATTATCTCTAGGATGATTAGGCATGAGGTCTGTTTTACATCTGTCCCCCAGCCCTTTTCCTCATTTACTGAGAAGCAAGAGACTTTAACAGCCTTAAAGTACTAATAATGATGGTGATAATCGAAATACATCCAAGTATTTTACCAATCTCATAGAAGTTATGGCAGATTCCTTAAGCAGACTTTGTCCTCATGAAACTAGGTCTTCTTCAGCGTTATTATTATGGCAGGTTCTGGAAATTTTGCTTCCTTTCCCTCAGCTCCTCCTGCCATCTGATATTTGACACCAGGGACATACTATATAGTCGTGTCCCTTCTGACAGATTTGAAAGTTTGAAACTGATTGACATTTTTGTTTCCAAGACCAAGTACCACTTTTGCCTCCTCTTACTCTCCGCAGGTTGAGCTTGATTTATGCCGCCACGTGAGTGACACGTGTGGTATTGTAGCAGTGTTCACTTTGGATAATCTGTATGACAATAGTATTACTACACCATAGTGCTAAGTACTGCAGAGCTCCTTGGATTCATTATGATAATCAAGAGCTGAATATTCATAGCAAGATCTCTGGAAAGAACTGGTGAATGAGTAATACTCCATTGCTAGCATAAAAGGGTAATACTTAAATGTTACCTTTTAGTGTGACTAAATGCCTTCATGGAATATTGAGAATCTCTATGATACTTAATGTATGACCTGTATTATATTCATTTTGCTGGTTTACATGTGTAGTGCAGTGATGGGCACTTTTAGACTGTAATGAAGTTGTTCCTGGAGATTTTTCAATTGATGGAACCCTTTAACCATGCTGTTGTTTTCATGTGTTCAGAATATCTGTCCTGTTTGTATGTGTCTAGTTTTATATGTGCCAGACTTACAGCGGTTTCACCAAAGAGTTTGACACATAGAAAGTAAGATCAGATTCTAGGGGTTTTTTGAAGCAAGCAGTCAAATTTTGAAGTCTGAGGTATACTGAAGGGTGGTACAATGGGTGTCTGGGTGAACAGGCTGGATTTCTAAAATGCTTTGGTGTCATCAGGAGAGGCTTTGTTATTACCTGTGTACTCCAAGGCAACATGTTTTGATGAAAGAATTTTCAGTTGTCATCTGGCTACCATAGGAATGTTTATATAAACGCTATGATCATGCATTGCATTGATGAAGACATGTAAAGATGAGCAGAACCAGATGAAAGTCAAAGTTCATTATCTGCGGTATTGATTTGATACAAATATTAAACCAGCTTTGTCCCAGAATATGAAGTTACTACTTTTGCTCTACGATTAATTCCCAGCAAATTTAGTATCTGAGATTGTGTCTAGCTCAAAGAAACCTATGCAGCTCTGATTCTGCCAGTCTGTTTTTTATGAGCAAGTGGTTAAGTTTTTCCCTATCTAGTAGTTCTCATTCTAGTAGCAGTCTTTGAATTCAAGAAATTGTGAATCTGTATCTTTCCAATTTCAGGTGAAATAGTCCAATATTCATGTTCTGCTAGGGAGGTCTTTGAAAGCTCAAGTCCAAGAACACCCAGGTTTAACTTTCAGTCCATATTGTACCCAAATATTTCTATATGCATCTCACACATTTGCCTGTACTTGTGGTGGTTGCAGATTGAATGGCTACAGCTGTTTCCAGGAACTGTGGAAAACAATGATGAAAACCCCTATTGTTTCTCCATCAACTATTGTGGAATCTCCACAAAGAAGTCATCACAAAATTATTCCCAGCTCATGTTTTTTTATGGTAGGGCAGAATAATTCAGACTATAATGTTTTATTGTCTGACCCTGTGGCTACTCTGAAAAGGAATTTGCTACATTTCCTAAGTAACCAGGGACAGCCTCACTGCTCATTTTTATTAAGCATGTGTACTTTTTGCTTGTTGATAATGATCCAGTTTATACAAACAAAAGCAGTTACCAATGGTAACTTTTTTCTGATCATGGTAAATTCAAAATATGGAATCCATCCCATTATAGTAAGTACCATAATATTAGATTATGTTTTGAATATGAGTCTGACTTTACCGCAGAAGTAAGTGGCAGAAGAAATTTGGTCATGAGCTTGAAACAGTTTTCTCCTGAAGCACAAATAGCATCAGTAACAGCCACACCAGCTCTGTACACTTTTCCTGTAAGTGCTCTTGCTTCCAAATCTGTGGGAGTGTGAGAATCTTCTTTTAATTTGTGTTGACACGTATTAACCCTGTCTCATTGTACGGCAGTGTGATAACACTTAGGTTTGGGTGTTTCATCCCAGTATACCTTGGCTCTGCCTGAAAGAGCACTCTCCAGCCTGAAGGCCTCATTCTCCTTAACTTGACTTTAATTTTGTTGCTGTGTTTCCACATTTTTGTGTCCCTTCTTAGGCTTCAATATTCCTTTTTTACTCTTCCGGCTACCTCCCATATGCACCCACTGAATGCCTTCCACCCAATGCCTTTCTCCTCCATGACAGATTTCTAGAAACTTGTTTTTAAAAACGTGGGTTTTCTTTTCTGCATAGTTTTTAAACTTTGGTAGGAACAGCAAACAAATGTAGCTGTTCCCCATACATCACACATTGGAAGTGAGAAGTGAAGTGAAAAGGAAGGGTAATTTTAAATAACATTTTGGTGTGGAAGGCACATCTTATCTTGATCCTGAAAGGCTCTTTATTGAGAAAATGCAGGAGTTTAATTGATGTGCTCTCGGTGCCCAATCTTACAGGAAAAGGAGTTAATGAAACAGTGTAATTGGTGAACGTAACCAGCCTCAAGCAGTGGTTTTTGATACAATCACTGCATGTCCACAAGAAAGGTTTACAGATCTGCTGCAGTGCAAACATACATGAAGAGGTATAAATGAATTGCATTTTGAAAGTTAACTTTTTGTTAAAATTCTGTTTAGTGATATGGATGATGACTACATTGTATAAATATATGCACATAAAATATATATAACAATGTAATTTATGTATACATAATACCTTTATGTATAATGAAAATGCAAGGTGTTGTGTGTTTGCATGTACATGCAAACGTGCACACAAATGCAAATTAAAACTCAAGAGGAGCATTTTCAAAATGCTGTTCACTGTTGTAATTCTGCTCCTGCCAGAGCCCATGGGAAGTTTAGGTCTGATACGTGAAAATGCTTGCAGGGTTCCCCACCTCTCAAACCCACTCAACTTGTATAGTGTTTTCCTTCTGAGTGTCATGTGTGGAAGAAGATACCCTTGCTGCTTTCTAAGCCCATGCAGTGGAAGCCTCTCTCTGTTGCTCAGCGATCTCTAAAGGTGAGCAACTTGTAAGGAAAATTTTCCTCCGGAGAAAAGCAATTACAGTAACTGTAACTGGGGTTGCAGTCCAGCTGGTCTCTCTCATAAATCTAGTTTTCTGTCAGCTAGACTGGTGACTCTG